AAAAAAATAGATTTTTTTTTTCATCGAAAGAAACAAAGTCTGACCCTAAGACCTTTAAATATCTAAAAAGTGATTTTTAAGTGCCAGTCTAGTGGTGGGCCGTGGGAGAGCTGGCGGCCGACTCACGTGGCCGGTATGATCGCCTGCTGTTGCTGATATCACGGCCTGCACTTCCCATCTCCAAATTCGCCTGTCTGCGACTGTATAAAACGTAAATACATTTTCAAAACACAATTTCATTTAGTAAAAATTTACCGCCCGTTTTCGTACTGTTTCTGCCCTAGTTGCGCTATCTAAATTTTTTTATTCGGTTTTCTAAATTAATCATCCCGTCTCTCTCTCTCTCTCTCTCTCTCTCTCTCTCTCTCTCTCTCTCTCTCTCTCTCTCACGGCGGCACTACGCCCCACCCTAGCGTTCCCCACATGTCAGTCTGGGCCGCCATGTTGCCACATTTACTGGATGGCTGGCCACCGCCTCCCGCAGTTTGGGCGCGAGCAGGGCCATTTTTATTAATTTTATCGTCATATTTCGTCCAATACATTTGAGGCCATACTTGACTCATTATTCAAAGAAACCTTGTAACCCAACAATCTATTTACAAGAGAAATAATGGTGTAACGCTTTTGTGAACGCACACAGCACTCTGAAAAATAAGTCGTAGGGAAGAACTTAAGGCAATTCTTCTGTTCCACTGTCCAAAACTTATATTTTCTCAATGAATCATTACAAAAATGTCCTTGCCCTTTTCAGCAGTGGTCAGTGGTCGTCACTCTCTGAAATATGCCATAAATTTACAAAACGGTACCGCAAGAGATCACACATTAGAGAGGAACAATTATGTAAATTTCTGACTATTCTTTCAAATACAAAAACAAAAAAATGAGAGATTTTGTATATATCTAAGAAGTCTTGTGAAATTACAAAATAAAATAACAATTTGTAGTTTAGCAATTTGGCGTAACTTTACAACAGGAAATTTGTAACTTAACGATTCGATACTGTTATACAAAATAATATAAATTGTCGTAAATTTATGAACTTTTATTTGATATTGACTCGGTGTGGAAGAGCGTTGGTCCACTGCCCACTAGCGGCGTTACGCAACCAAGAATTGCCCGCCCATTTCAACCGACCGGTTTGAATTCATTTAACTTTGTACTCCTTGCACTGCCACGATGTGGAGGCAGCCACACCCACCCCTAGTGCCGCCCCCGCTGCCCCCCACACCCCCGCCGAGGCCCCAGGAGGTTCGCCGCCACGCCCCGCCACGCTGCTCAGCCACCGGAACACGTTCACATTTTTTCCCCAAGTCTCTGTGGGGCCCTGGCGGCTGCTGCGCCCCGTCCAGGCCAAAAAGTCAGAGCCCCCCCCCCTCCCCACTCCTTGTGATGACGCCGCCAAACTGAGTCTCCTCTGTTTTCGACGGGTGCCCCCTCCCCCCTCCACTCCCCAGACCCTTTCTCCCAGCCCCTCTGGGCTAGCAGCTGCCAAAACCAAACTCTCCCCCTCCACCCCCTACCCCCTTTGGCGCCCTTCTAGACAGCAGCGTGGCGTGGCGTAGGGGCAGCTTGGGGGTGGCGCGGCGAGTGGGCGGGGGCGGAGCGGCGGCGGCGGCAGCAGCTCCAGAGAGAACTGACGCCCCCAAAAAGTTGTTCCGTCTCGCTCCTTGCGAGGAGTAGAGGGAGGAGGAGAGGGAAACTTTTCGATTAGCAACGCTTAGCCTGCTTCGATAATTACCAACATCACAAGTAACACGCAATGGGGGGAAGGGGGAAAGGGAGGGGGGATGGCGAACCAACACTTGATTCAAACTGTCGCCCAGCAGAGCACACACACACACCACACAAACACCAACCACGCTACAACCACGCACCAATACAAGAAAGCATGAACCAAAAATATATTGTATACAATACTTAGCTGTCCGCTCGCACTCTGAAAGTCAATCTGATAGAGACAGCCAGCAAAGAAAAAATGTAAAATAATAAAGAAAAAACGGAGCAAAATAAACTTTATACAAAGAAATCCATTGGCAGAAGAAGCCCATGGTTAATTCATGCAGCCCGTGTCCATGGCGCCCTGACAGAGAAACAAGGAGCTGCTCAGCCACAAGCACTTACCTCATTACAATACAAAATGTTAATTTGATGTTCTGACGGACATTTGGCCCGATACTTGTCATGTGGCTGAGAGCTTGACTTCAACTCATCATGACTTATTACGACTAATGTGAGTGAAATATTTCTACGTGAGTTATTTCGACCAACACCGACACCTTCAACCAAGTGAGACTTAAAATTACAACTACAATCGCACAACGGAAGTGGATCTACTTTCTCCAAAAACCGAGAAAAGAACTCTGTGTTGGAGACTTTCGGGCCAGTTAACAGACAAGATCAAATTCCAAGTTACCAGACAAGAGACAGAGGATTTAAACCGTTACCACTCACACCTCCAGAATACTCTTTACAACTCAGAGCACAAACTAAGAGCCCGAACCTCCCTTACACAGCATGTGCGAAATTTTGAAAATCAGACAGACTTTGCACAGGAGAATACTGGAAAATTAAAATTTCTTTGGCTTACCATAGTCTCCGGAGCCGTTGTGTTTATCTGCAAGAAAACGCAAAAGCGTATTGTATAGATTTAGTCTACAATTCTGAAAATTTCAAGAATTATTAACTTAAGCAATTCCACTTGGTCTTCAAAACTCTTTTTTTAAACATATTACGGTCGGTATATTATATGGACACGAGCTGCAGTGTACACGGCAAAAAAAATCCTAGCCTAGCAAAATTAGAACACTTGAGGCGCATTTTGACAAAGCAGACCAACATATCCCACATGAAGTTTACAATGTATCTAAAATACTATATCGCAGTGCTACGCATATTCTATGGCCCTCTCTCCACATTTCGAGTAAGGGCAAGGAAGGTTTGCCGAACAGTCCTATTCCTCTCTTGTAAAGAAAACCGACGTATGAAATATTGCAGCAGCACTGATTTTCTTATTATTTTCGCCTTTTATTCCCATCATACCGAGGCCCTGGCCTTCCGCCCCGCATCCCTCTGCAGTTCCTCTCTTTTTTTCCTGTCTCTTTCTCTCCCGCCCTCTGTTCCATCCGGAGACGAACTTCCGCTCGCTTCCTTCGTTATTTTCATGCCCCCCCCCCCTCTTTCGTTTTAACAGACACTTCCCCATTATTTTCATCCTGCGAAAAGTAACGTGAACAGAGAGCTGGAAGAGCGCGAGTCCAGCCCCCCCCCCCCCTTTCCCGTTCCTCTCCACGCTTCCCCGAGCGTCCGTCAGATGTCGCCACTCCCTGGGCGCACTTGCCCCCGGGTCCCTCGCGGTTCAAACTTCCCGCGCTTCGCGGCCAGCCAATCACGCGTCGGCAATGCCCTCGCGGTGACATGCTTCTCCGACTCTCCGGCAGGTGGCAGAACCGATCGGGGCGACGCTAGCGCCGCCGGCCATCACGGCGGCCGAACGTCGAAGCGGCGGGCTGCACGCTCGAAATAGTGGCGGTGCAGCGAACGGCCCGATTTGATTATAGATTTGAGCGTGGGGCGCGCACGTGGGCGCCACTACACCGCAAGAAAAAAAATCAATGGCCACATTTGTTTTGAAACCGATAGCTAAAACAATAAGCCACTTATCCAAGACCCAAATTTTGAAAATCAGGAAAAATAAATAATTCCTTCATTGATGAATTAGGGAAATTGAAATAATCGAACGTCTCATATACACTCTGGCTTGCCGCTTCGCGCCGGGCTGCACCGAGCTCGAGAGAGGGGAAAGGAAAGGGGGGGGGTGGGTGTGTGTGTGGGGGTGAACTGGCCATAAATCGTGCGGCCACTCTGGGGCACGCGGGGAGCAACAAGTCTGCGAGGATGCGACCGACCCCCGCAACGCAACGCGTGGGTAAACAAGGGGATTCCGCCGACTCCTTTCGAACGCGCCGAGGTGTCGTTACGCCGTTTCGATACATCGAGCCGTCGTCGATCCCTCGGTCACTTTCGAACTGTGCGCGCGCGGCGGGCGACTTACGGGAATATCGCTCTACACTACGATGCTATTGTTTCCGATTCTTCCGTGAACGAGAGAGTGACGAAGGTGACCATCTAGGTCAACCACCCCCGGTGACCTTCCTCTGTAGCCAACGGTGCTCTGGTCAGGTCATTAGCACCTGCGTGCACCCATTGCTGCACCCGGAGCGCGCCGAGGTCACCGTCGGAGACCGTCTGTGGGGATCTGGAGCTGGGGAGAACGTTGACCGGTGTCAAGGCGGGGCCGGGGTCGCCTATGCACGTCGGACATGCCCAGGTGATTTTGATACTCAAACGGTTCGTTTATTTTAGGAAGAACGGTTGATTTTGAGAAATCGCCCGACCGGCTCAACCTGGTGGGGCGGTGGGCGGAAAGAGAGTAGGGGGAGGATATGCAAAAATTCGTGAAACTAGGTCGTCCTGTCGCATCGCTTGCCGCCGTCCCGCTGGGCTGAGCAAATAGATCCGAACTTCACTTCCGCAACTGTGGCGAGCCCCGCTTCGGGGAACGCCTGCCTGCTGGTCGCAGCACTGATTGGCATGCCATATTGCATGTGCCAGAGCCTGCCCCCCGCCGGGCGGACGCCGGTGCCAGAGAAAGCACGCCGCCACACACGCATGAGTTCCAGGAGGAAACTGTGCCACGGCGACCGATTGTGAATAAATACCGTTCTGGTTCGTCGGCGTCCCAATAGTCCCCTATGCCCGTCCGCGGCCGACGCCAGGCGACGTCATCATCTCGATGAGGCATTTTTATCCCGGGGGGAATAATGCTCTCGACACAATGACAAAGCCGCGAGGCTCCTTTGTGACGGACAGCGAGAAGGATTCCGGGAGGGCCGCCAGGCCAGCCCAGCTGCGGGGCGACTACTCAAAGCGAAGCGCGGATTAACCCATTCGAAGTGGCTGCTGCGACGGCGCGACACGCTGAAGGGAAGGGGGTCCTAAAGGGAATTAAAGAGAAGTGGGAAGAATGGGACGAAATTTCGTATTGAGATTGGGATGTTCCATAGGGGTCACGCGCCCGGGCGGGGCAAAGCGGTCCGTGTGGGTGTGGTGGCATCATACTCCCGCAATCACTTCGCTTCCGGAGCCAATCGCGACGCCATCGGCGGGACGCTCTTTCAGCCGCGAGTCACGCCGGCGGCCCGCATCCGCCGCCGGGAACCAATCAGCGGTGCGCCCCACACACGGCAGAGCGATGAAGATGTGCTGGGGGGCCCCGCGGAGATCTCGGCCCTCCTGACAAATGACGGACGAGTGTCTGGCGGAGAGCGAGCATCCATCAGGGGAGACCACTTCATCATCGTCTCGACCTCGCACCCAGGGGCTGGTTGGCCCAGGTCGGGGGGAAGGACACGGATCAATCCAAGGGGGAAAAAAAAATAATTTAAAAAAATATCGAAACGTTTACCTCTCAGTGGGGGACAGTCTCTCCACCTGGCTAGTGCACTACCCGTTGGCTTACCGCCAGGGCTCGTCACGCTGGCCTTCCCTGGCCTTTTACACCCCGCCCCAACCCAGTCCCGCCATTCCCCGCCCCACCCCACTCCACCACCCACCCTAAGCGGCCCTTTAACGCGCCTGGCATAGCCCCCTTTGGCCTCTGGGTCAGTAGCGAAAACTGCACACTGCAAACTTCATGTTAGATATGGTCAGCATGCAATGCAAATGCGGTTCTGTTCAGAAAACAAATAATGATGGTGACAGTAGAACGAACAAAAAATCATGAGAGCGATGGTATAATGATTTGGAAACAAAAATGACATATTTAGAGGCAAAAGTGAAACGAAATAAAAAGCGATGATGCTATGGAAGAAATGTATGAAAAAATAATTATTACCCTCTGGAGTTTGTTGTAATCATAACAAAATCATAATGAGAACGGAATTTATAATCCAAAGGGTAACAGCTAGTGCAGCTAAATAATAACTTTGAAATATCGTGTGGTATATTGAATGATTTTACGAAATAAAAGCAAAACCAAGCTAGCGCAAGATGCACATAATTGGGCATAATGTCTTAAGGTAGTTAAATATATTCTAGAGAGTTTCCGCGGAGTCTGTGGCCGGGCTGCACCGATGAAGCGACCACCTGTCGTGCCGGTGCATCGGCCAAGCCAACCAGAGACCGCGGCGGGCGGAGAGATCAAGTAACACGAAGTGGTAAATTTAAGGTCCACTAACGTCATAAACACTTAAGATATTTGAAATTTTGAAAATTAGGACGTTAATGTGGCCATAAAGCTGTCCATTTCATGTTACTTTGGGAGAACAGGGCGGCCTCACAGAGTGTTACGTCCGGGCCGCTCATGGAGGCCACCCCCTTCTCCCCCAAGGTCGATGGCGGGTTCCCAAGGACCCGAAAGAGCACACTCACCGAATTGACTCCGCATCCAAGGGTAAAGAGGTGATGGCAGCGAACTGTTGTTGTTGTTCTGCTGTTGCTGCTGCTGCTGTTGCTGCTGCTGTGCCGTGGGGGGCGGCCCTTGCGGGGGCGCCTGGTGAGGGGACATGACCTGCTGGTGGTGGGGGTGAGGGGGCATGCCGCCGCCGTTGACCACCGCGGGGTTCACGTTGTTGTACATCATGTGGTGGGGCGGAGTCTGCTGCGGGTGGTGCTGCGGCGGCGGCTGGTGCTGCGGCTGCGGCTGGGGCTGGGGCTGCGGCTGCTGCGCCTGGTGGGGCGGCGGCGGCGCCTGCTGGTGGTTCACCATGTGGTGGTGCTGCTGGGGCTGCTGCTGGTGGTGCATGCCCGTGTCCAGCGGCGGGCTGACGGGGCCGCCGATGACGCCCCCGGGCCCCACGGCGGCCGCCTGCAGCTTACAGCTCGCGTACACGACGGGCGCGGGCGCGTTGTGGCCGTTGGGCGGGCCGTGCGCCGCGTGGGTCATGTGCTGGATGGGCGAGTTGGGCCGGTACCCGGTGTCGTCCATCATGCCGCCGCCCTGGGCGTTGTAGTAGGCCGCGTGCCGGATGTCCATGCGGTCGTAGGGCGGGAACCTCGGGTAGGGCATCTGCGTGCCGCCCGTGGTGGGGTAGTGGTGCGGGGGCCCGTGGGGCGGCACCACGCCCTGCCGCATGTCGCCGTTGACGCACACGCTGGGGTCCATGGGCGGGCCGGCCACGGCCGCGCCATAGTGCTGGTGCTGGTGGGGGTGCTCCGCACCCCCGTTCCTCATGTCGGCGTGGGGAGGCATGTAGGCGTTGGCGAAGTACGAGCTCATGCCCTCCGCCACCGAGTCGCACACGCTCTGGGACTCGATCTTGGCGGGGGCGCCGTGGGGCTCGTCCACGGGGAAGTACTGCAGCTCCGCAATGGTGGCGGCGGGGTTGCGCGGGCCGGCGGGCGGCCGCACTGCGAGCGGGGAGAAGGGGGTGTGGGGGGGGCGTGCTTGCACTGCACTTGTGCACGGCACTTCACTCTCGCATCACGCGCACTCTCACTTGACGGGGCACTCGCGCACTTCCATGGTCGCCTCGCGGCCGGTGTCGGTTGTGGACGACGTCACGCCGCCGACGGCGGCCTCGGCAGGCAGACGACGGTCCGACAGGGTGATCCGGGGCTGCCGGGGTCGTCGGCGGGCAGAAGAAGGACGGCGGGGATGCGGGGGCTACGTCGCATCCGCCCCTGGAACACAAACACACGCATGAGCAAAGACACTCTCGCGACCCACACGACGAGCACACGCTTCCGGGGCCCACAGAGTGCCATCCTTGAACAAGGCGCTCCCGGGGCACTCACCGGAGCCGCCCGGAGCTCCTGGCCGCCGGAGCAGCCGCCCGGTCCGACCGGGGCCAGTAGATCGCGACGACTGACCGTCCGTGTCACCGAGAGACGGACAACGAGGCTGCCAGCGGGGCGAGGGTAGTGACATGCAAAAGCTTGACCCCCACGGGGGCTGCCTCCGGAAGGTCCGCAGGGCACTCGCATTGTTTCCTGGAGGCCACCGGCTCGATGCCTCGGAGACGGCCAGCCATTCACCACCGTGCATCAACAACAACGAAGCGAGTGTCGACGGCTCGCCGTCACACCTCTGCTCGATAGTATCGATCGAGCATTTCCGCTCAACTCGTTCATCTCAATTTAGGCCCCCCCAGCCCCCTCGCTTGTGAGAGGCTGGCGGCGGGCGGGACGGGGGTGTGTCGGGGCGTGGCGGCGGAACCAGGAGCGGGCGTATCAAAGGGCCCCTCACACAGAAGAAAGCCAGCAGCGCCGGCTGCCTCCCCGTAGGGCCCCTCGGATGAGGAGGGGAGGCACCGGGGACCACACACCTTGCCGCCAATCCCATAATACACCCGCCCGCCGGCAACACACACACACACAAGTCACACCACTGCGAGCGTTGGCAGACAGATCGAAAGAGGCGATTTTTCAAAATTTTGCTCTCTGATCGTGCTTGCGAATTATTTTTGCGGGTCATTGTTGAGCCCACAGAAGAGGGGCTCTGTCTCCGTGCCGAAAGACAAAAGCAGAGCATGGTTCCGTTGGTCCGTCCGGGCGCTGCCTTTCTCCTCCCGCTGTGTCGGACTGAGGTCAGGGGTCGTGGACACCGTCGAGCCCTGGGGCAGCGCCCCGCCCGCGTCACGCCCGATCACGCCGACAAAAGCTGCGCATTTGCACGCCTTTCCCTTCGGAACCGCTTTGTTTACGTCTCGTGAGCCACAACTTTTCATAGTAATAGCTAGAACGAACGAGCGGGAGAGAGAGAGAGAGAGAGAGAGAGAGAGAGAGAGAGAGAGACTTGAGCGATCGGACGAGTTTTGTCGCATCGGTGTGGTAGGTGCGATTCAGGTGTTGAAGGCATCGGTCAGTCCGAGACTCGCCCTCGCCGGGACGAGATCGAAGCAGAGAGCTTTCGCGAAGCCTGTTACTCGGCGCGTTGTCCTAGAAGACTTGCACATCGAACGCGAGACGCAAGAGAAGAAGGGCTGGATAACACAGGCGAGTATACGAGGCCATTCGTGAGTTGACACGTTCGTGGTCACGCCCAACTCAACGTCATCTTAAAAACAACTCGTCAGAAACTGGATGGGCGTGAATGGATAAAAATACCAAACGAGGTAAGGACTTCTATGGTAACGACTGGAGTTGGGAGGGATTCAAAAACTCGCGCGCTGCACGGCGGCCATCATTCTACAACCCCCGTTGCTATGGTAACCACGCATCCAGTTTGTTTTTCATAACACCGGGGAGCTGCTGGCGGTGGTGGTGGTTGCAGTAGTAGTGGGGCGACGGCTGCGAAACCTATCGGCTAGTCGCCCAACTTCATCGCCGGAGCGACTAGCTGGACTAGTGCTGCCCAATGTAACGAGCAACTCTTAAAACATAATTCCGTTTAGCGGACTGCCTGCTGACTAATGACTGGGTACGTGGCACTTTTAAACGCGAAACGAAGGTCGAAGATAAAATTAATGGAAATATTCCCATTTTTCGGGAGAAATAAAGTAGCCCCCAAGAGCGGACGGCGCGCGCCGGCAAGTAGGCAACCCCTCCGGCACGGCTGGCCGAGGTGTTGCCTACCCACTAGGCGCCCGCGCTCTGTTCCCCCCAGCAGCCACCACCGAGCAGCCCTTGTTGGCGTGGTGGAGCGCGCACACCGCAAGCGCACTTCAGAATGATTCGATTTTCAATTGCAGTCCGCACCGCCCGACTAGATTAGCGAGGAGCTAATCCGCCATGTCGCCACCCGCTGGTTATGCGGCCACTATTGCTCCCAGCGCCGTAAATCAGCATATTGCCTATGTTCCTCGCTCTGGCACCCATAGTTGCGCGCACTAACCGCCCTCCCCTTTCCCTTCCACGGTGGCGCCCCGTTCCTCTCTCTCTCCCCCTCTCTCTCTCTCTTATGTAAATGCCCGGGCACCCCACCCTCCCACTCCCGCCGCGACAACCCCCCGCAAACAATCACTCAGATTGGCATACATTTGCAATTAGTTGCCATGTATTGCCCGTCGCTTTACACGGATCAGCCCCGGCGGGTGGGGAGGGGTGCTGGTCACCGCCAACATCGCATACATTAGTTCCAGACTATCGCCCGCCCGACGACTCGCCCTTTCGGGGCTTCCCCGTCTGCGGTTCGTATATTTTCACCCCCCGCCCGACCACCGCCGTTTCCGTCCGCCGCGCTATCAGCGTGTACCCATACATAAAGTTATAATGCAAGCGCAGAATGAGTGCGCGCGCCACGGGCTCTTACCCATCGTTTGAATTTTTCCGCGGAATGAGCGAACGCGACCTCGGGTTTATCCCGCCGTTTGAATTTTCCCGCGGAATGAGCGAACGCGACTTCGTGTTCATCCTGCCGTTTGAATTTTCCCGCACCAGAATGAGTGAGCGCGCCACGGGCCCATCGCGTCGTTTGAATTTTCCCGCCGCTCCGGCCCCCAATAATGTATCGGCGAGCGAGCTGTACTCGGCGCGTAGCGCTCCTGCCGGCCGGGCCGTGAACCCGGTGCATAAGGAGCCATGTTCGGCGGGGAGCGGGCGGGG